TTATGTAAAAAGGGGAGACCCCCAAAACAGATAGATAGATAGATAGATAGATAGATAGATAGATAGATAGATAGATCTGAACGGACTGAGATAGATAGATAGATAGATAGATAGATAGATAGATAGATAGATATGAGCTGACCTACATAGATAGATAGATAGATAGATAGATAGATAAAACAACGCTTGAGTTGAACTTTTAGATATTTTCCACTTATTTTATCAAAGCTACTGTTGCTATTATAAAATCAGTAGTCTGTTTTGCCAAACTAAACGTACTTTTTTCATTTCAATAACGTGTGAATAAAATTATCAACGATTGATGAACGCCTAAAACAGAACAAATAACAAACTTATATATAATAATTCTTTGAATCATTTCCATCTTAATGTAGTGATCCTTCTTCTCTATAACAGCCAGAAATCTATTATCCATTAATTTTGATAATCTTTTTACTTCAGCAGTTTCGATTTAATGGTGTTTTTAATTACTTCTCGTAGGGCTACGTTGCTGATATATTGTTTGTCACCTTCATATAATTTCATCTTCACCATAGATTTTCAATCAGATTCAGACTTGATGGTGGCTATTCCATTATATTCTCTCTTATAAACTTTTTATGCTCAGGCAATTCACGGGTAGCCTTAGATACATGAGAAGTAGCTATGCCGTGCATAAATACACACTTTACTTTGAAACTGCCAGGCTGGGATTTGTACTATTCAAAGAATGTCTTGTTCATGAAATCGCAATGGAGAGTTAAACAACTTCATCGATCTTAAATGGTCTAATAATAGTTTGGCCGATAATTCCAGCCTATATCATCACACTGTCGTCTCTTTGCTGTCTTTCGTCCTGGGTAAGATGTTAAGCTACATCCGCGTCCTGGGTAAGACGTTGAACTGCATCCGCGTCATGGGTAAGACGTTAAATTACATCCGCGTCCTGGGTTAGACGTTGAACTGCATCCGCGTCATGGCTGGGACGTTGAGATGCTTCCGGCAGCGGGGCCTCTGATCAGGAGGTTTTGAGGAGCGTGGAACCGCCTCTTAGTTGCTGGTGTTCCCGGGTCCGCCCAGGCCCTGGGTGGTGGAACCTGTTGGGGTCCCAGCTGTGGGCAGGTGGTTAACTATTACCAGCAGTAGAAGGATTGTTACCAGGAGTGCAATTTTGGAAGAAGTATATTGCCAGAAACAGATTTTTGACAAAACAAAATATTACCAGCAATAAAAAAGTTTTGTCGGCATTGGGTGGTCCATTGAGGTTGATATGCAGTAAAACAAAATAAACCAAACCAATCTAAACCAAAGAATACATATTCTATTCATACGAATCTATCCTAAAAATGTTGTCGGCATTAAATAACCCATTGAGGTTGATATGGCGTAAAACAAAATAAACCAAACCAATCTAAACCAAAGAATATATATTCTATTCATACAAATCTATCCTAAAAATGTTGTCAGCATTAAATAACCCATTGAGGTTGATATGCCGTTAAACAAAATAAACCAAACCAATCTAAACCAAAGAATACATATTCTATTCATGCGAATCTATCCTAAAAATGCTGTCAGCATTAAATAACCCATTGAGGTTGATATGCCGTTAAACAAAATAAACCAAACCAATCTAAACCAAAGAATACATATTCTATTCATACGAATCTATCCTAAAAATGTTGTCGTCATTAAATAACCCATTGAGGTTGATATGCCGTAAAACAAAATAAACCAATCCGATCTAAACCAAAGAATACATATTCTATTCATACGAATCTATCCTAAAAATGTTGTCAGCATTAAATAACCCATTGAGGTTGATATGCCGTAAAACAAAATAAACTAAACCAAACCTTGCTGTCTTCTTTTAGCCACAACCGCATCTACATTGGATAAAGATCCATCAAGTGTCACCCAACGTTTATCTGTGAAAATATACAATATAAAAGTCAATTCCCATGTATTGCTTAGTCCAATTTTAAAATATTTACTTTATTTAGAGGAGTTTACCTAGGAATATTTTTGCGAAGTATTTTTTACCTTTTGTCCTTGATTCTCTCAGTTTCAGTCTGTTCAAATTGTGAGCGATGGTCGAAAGTGTTCGTTTCACTATACCTCGCTTTCGTTTACGTTCCCCCCGAGGAGCCAAGTTCTTAAATCCTTTCCCTTTGTTTCTAGTTCTCTGCTTAATTATATCTCCAATATATCGTTCGATAGTCTCTGGAAAGCTCTTTTGATATCTCCAATGTTCTGGACACCTAGCCATGGAGTAAGACAGAGTGACCTCCCAGCAACCACATACATTAATCGGCTATGATATGACGGAGAATTCCACCTTAATGACCTTCCGAGTTTGATGCAGGACCGTGATGGTTGGCGTAATATACACATAAATGTCCGAGCTAGCTAGAGTGAAACTATATCAATAAAGCGCAGTGTACGTGTTTCCGTCCGTCCGTCTGTTTTTCGATCTCGGCGAATCATAAACAACAGATAGTTACTACTGTAGTTATAAGCAATTAAAAATTAAATAAATAACATATTTAAAGTTAAATTTAAATATTAAACAGTGAAAGGTTTAAAAAATAATTCCTTATTAAAGGTTTAACCTTAATTTAGTTTTTTGTTACAACTGCAATTGATGTCCTCTAATTAAACTGCAGTTGGAACTTAAGCGGAACACAGTACGTTGCTCATTTTTTTCTTTTTCTAGCATGCATACTGTGACGTATTCGAAATATTACATAGTTGAGGTTCCCTAATGTCTTTTAGGGATCACTTTATATGAAGGGATCATAAAGAATGGTGATTTTAAAAAAATGCATGCAAAATAAATGTAAACAAATTACAGAGATCAGTTGCATATACAAGAAAAGATTATACTGAATTAAGGTGTTGAATAAAGATAAAACATTTTTATTATTTCTAAATTCTTCTTCTAACTTTTTCGCACATAGGAAGCTGAAAGTAAAAAGCCGAAGGCCCTCCACGGGAGCTAGCTGAAAGTTCCATGAACGGGAAGACTCTAGGCTAGTCTTTAATATTATTAAATTCATTTTATTTAAACAAAATCAATATAAATAAAGCGCAGTGTAAGTGTGTCCGTCCGACCGTCCGTTTTTCGATGTCGGCGAATCATAAACGGCTTGAAGTAACAGATAGTAACTTCTGTAGGTACACGCGATTTAAAATTAAATAAATAACTCGTTTAAAGTTAAATTCAAATATCGAACAGAGTGAAAGGTTTAAAAAACAATTCTTTATTAAAGATTTCGCTTTAATTTCGCTTTTGCTCGCTATTGCAATTGATATCGTCTAATTAAGCTATAATTAAAACTTAAGTGGGGTACAGTACGTTGCTCATATGTTTTTTTTCTTTTTCTAGCACGACGTATTCGAAATATTGCATAGTTTTTGTTTACTAATGTCTTTTAAGAGTGGCTTTATTTGAAGGAAGTATAAAGAATAGTGATTTTAAAAGAAACTAAAAATTGCGCGCTGTTGCGTATACGAAGAAAGATTACGCCGAATTAAGGTGTCGAACAAAGATAAAATCATTTTATTATTTCTAAATTTTTAAAACTTTTACGTACATAACAAGCTGAAGATAGAAGGCCCAAAGTACGAAAACCTACGCAGAAACTAGCGTAAAGTCCACCGGAAGGGCGGCTTCTAGGCTAATAAAAAAAATGAAGCGTTTGTTGATGAAATTTTGGTTATGTCGATGTGTATTGATTTAATTCTGTTATAGATATTATTATTGCTATTGTATATGACTTCTGTGTGTACCGGGAGATATTTGGTGTCTTGCAATGAAAAACTTAGGTTGCATCATCCGGAGGTATCTGAGTCTTACATTCTTTAAATGCGAGTTTTATGAATGATTGTGACAGGTAAAAGTGCATCTGACGTGTCTTTATCGATAGAAGCATATTGATTAATATTCCCTCTAAGTATTTTCTTCATAACTTGGCATGTTCTTTTATTAGGGTGATATTTTCTTGAATAAGGGAGTGTGGCCGAGTGGTGAGATCATTCGCTTTTCGACCATGAAACCCAAGTTCGAATCATATCACGGTCGATTCATGGAGGCGATCCCAGCGTGCAGCACATTTGAAAAGTAACTGAAAACCATAGCACCCAATCCTTCAGAGTGAGATTGGGTAAACGGAATGGTTATGCTAGCACAAAGTTACAAGTCATCGTGACCGAGAGTTTGAGTGTACTGGCCTTGTTTAAACCGTTAATCGCCCCAGATAATGCGCTCTCTCTCAGAAACTGTAACTAAGGTCCGCTCAGCACAGTTGCAGTATAAACCACGGGTGGACTCTGTGGGTGTTGAACAAACAAAAAATGTGCCTGAGCAAGCGTCTTCAACAGGGATTATCTAGCTGCCTTAGACGGCATACTCGGATTATTATTATTATTTTGTTTGTTGAAGAAAAATCGTATGTGTCGGAAAATTTGGTGTATGTGGGTGGGTGTTTGTTTAATTCTGTTATAGATATTGTTATTATTACTATTATATATGACGTTTAAGTGAATCAAAAGATATTTGTGTTGGAGTGAAACACTTAAGTTACATCGTTCGTAGCCATCTGAATTTTACATTCTTTGAATACGAGTTTTATGAATATTGGTGGCATGAAAAAATGTGTCTGGTGTGTTTTTCTCGATGGAAGAATATTGATTAATATTCCCTCTAAATATTTTCTTCGTAACCTGGCATGTTCTGTTATTAGGATAGTATATTTATAAAATCAAATTATGGTCTTATCTCTGTGTGTGTGTGTGTGTGTGTGTGTGTGTGTGTGTGTGTGTGTGTGTGTGTGTGTGTGTGTGTGTGTTACGAGAGACTTCTGTGGCTTGTCCAAACTCAATTCTCTCTTGTGTTCATAGATGCGAAATTTTAGGCTTCTGGAAGTTTCGCCTATATAAATTTTATGGCATTGCACACATTTAATATTTTATATAACGGCATCTCATGTGGTGTTGGTTCTGTATGTTCTGCTAATTAGATGTCTGTTTCGAAGGTGATGTTTATAATCCTAGTGTCAATGATGGTTCATGAGATCTGTTACTAAAGATTTGGAGGGTAAGATCATAGATTTGGTGCTGTTCATGTTGAGAGTGCCTACTTTTAACTATATAGTGGATTTTATATGCTCGTTTCCAAGTTTTGAGGATGAAAATATTTATTTATTTCTCTTTTTCATCCAGGTATTCTGTGCAACATATTTCTAAAGACTCGGAGAGAAAAAAACCTTTGATTAGTTCTGACTAGCAGTAGAGCCCGGCGTTGCCCGGGGATGTAACAGTAAGAGATAGATCAAGTATCGACCATCATAAAGACTGAAAAATAAAATTGACAAAGATTTTTGTTTAAGGTTGACGGACACGCATGTCTTAATTATTTTATTTTATTTTTTTTTTTTTACGAATTGGTCAAACCCAAACTCAAACAAAAACATTGTTTTCAATCGTTATTCGATTGAATAGAATTTTATTATAAACAATTGTCTTGTAAATGGAATTTTTAAAGCATTCTGAATGTAAAAATAAAGAAAAAAGTGTGCAAGACAATAAGAAACACTACCTGCCAAAAAAAAGTGAAGTTTTGTTGAAATCGGTTAAAAAATGTAGGAAATCCGATCCCATATATAAACGAACACACACACAAACAACCTGGGTTTTATAATAAGTATAACTCGATATGAGTTGTCCCCCTTTCATTCTCGAGACAGCGATGCCTCTTAATCGTGTTTTTAAATTGATTTTGTGCAAAAACAATTGTATTTTTCCAATTTCTGGCGCTGTTAAGTTAAGTTTAAGTAGTCCTGTGAAGTTTTGTTGTAATCGGTTGAAAAATGTAGAAAATCCGATCCAATATATAAACGTACAGAAACACACACACACACACTCATACATACACACACAACCTGAGTTTTATAATAAGTATGATTTTATATTTTGGCTGTGTTAAAAATAGAAATTAATTAAATCAGTTTTGTTTGTCGGTTTGCGATAAACTCTAAAATCTAATTCGTCCTTCTTTAATAGGATGTTGAGGATACGAAGAGATTTCTTTATTTCATGTTCATGCCTGAATTCTTTGGTTAGTCATACTTTATTAAGCCTAAATATGATGTTTAGCAGATTTTTATTGTGAGGATAGATTAGGACGACGTCATCTAGATAAGTGTAGTTTTTAGGTATGATGTCTTTAAATGAGCCGGGCTCTAAACATCCTATAAACTGTAAGCGTTCTGAAAGCAAAGGAAGTATTTGTCGCAGATTACTTCCACAAAACAAAGAACAAATCACTGTAAGTACAGACTCGAATATCGGGGGCAGAAAGAAATGCCGAAAACTCCATTCGCCGGTACTTTCTCACAAATCACAATGTGTGTAACCAGGCAGAAAAATAACTCACTCTCCGACGAACGCGGTAGCCAAAATACACCATCACTACAAGATTCGAGAATACCAACTGTTTTTATCGGCCGAGCATTTTTTCCATTCGTCGACAGCTGAGAGAGAACGTTCAATTTTTGCATATCAAAATATTCTTATAGCGACTCCTGCGACAGACTTGTCTTTTTTTTTTTTTTTTTAAGTATTTCGTCTTCAGTATGTCATGCGGAATACGTGCCCTTTTTGGGGGTAAATAATTTTCTTTTTCGCCACATTTTCCGTCGTAGGATACACGCGACTCGCTGTCGCTTGGTTTGACGAGATAAGTCGCCGTTTTCTTCGCTATATAAACATACAAGCATGAACGCCGCTCGTAGATTCAGGATTCCTACATGTTTCACCTATGCAGCTTTTCTGGTGTTGCAGGCATTTATATCGTAAATCCCCGCCTCTGATGTGTTGTTGGATCTATGTTTCTTGCTAACTATATCTCTGGTTGTCTTGAAGGTTGTGGTAAGGATCTTAGTGCTCGGGATAACTATTTGGATTTCAATTGTTGTTGACAGAGGGTGAGATTATGAATGTTATGTTTTTGTTATCGGAGGTGTCTACCTTTTTGCACTTGTGGACATTGTATGTTCCTTTACTAGCGTTAAGGATGGGGCACCTCGGCGTAGTGTAATGGTTAGCAAGCTTGTCTCGCTAGATCAGTTACAACTGAAAAGTGAGTTCGATCCTCACTAGATGCCCCATACTTTCGGCCTTGTGCCACATCTAAGCTATGCTTGGAAAATAACTAATAGCGTTAAGGGTGAAATGATCTGGGTCGTGAAGAAACGTGTTTCTCTTCTTCATCCACATGTTTTAGGCCAGGGGTCGACAACCTTTCATTAACTATGTGCCGACTCAGGGGCTTAAAATCGTTCAGTGTATTTTTATACAAGGTCAATATACATGTTCTATAATATATTTTATATAGTATATATACTTTTGTATATATTAAAATTGAAACAGCTACATATCTTCTTTTCGTTGTAGGAGTTGTTGATTCGGACTTCGTGATATCATTTGCGGCTACGTGATATTGGAAATTGCTTGCCGTGCCTCGTGTGGCACGCGTGCCGTAGGTTGCCGACCCCTTTTCTAGGCTGTATATTCCAAGGGCTCTGAGATAAAAACCTGGGATTAGTCCTGATTTATTTTTTTTTTTAATATATATATATATATATATATATATATATATATATATATATATATATATATATTTAAATCAGTTTTTGTGGTACAGAATTTGATAATAGATAGGAAAAGACAATATTTATAAGGCATTTTTTAAAAGCAAAAGCTAAAATAAAAACAACCGGTCTCGTCCCAGGACTTTTCAAGTTTATTTATTCTGGTAATTTAAAAAAGCGTGTAAATTAATTTTTAATTAACGAATGTAATCGAATGGGGAGAAAAAAATTATGAATTTCAAGAAACTAGAGTCCAATAATATTCAGACCCAGCAAGCATTCCCTCTGTTTACAAAGGGAAGGCTCACGGGATCTGATAGACAAGGACTCTAGAACCTTGAGGTGAAATGTGAAGTGGGACCTAGATAAAATTATAAATCGGTCACCACTAAAATTTTCCACACATTTCCTTCTATTTATTAAATGTTCAGCAATAGCAGAACCAGAACTGTTAGTCAGTTGGCTATTCCTGGAAGACGGATTCAAAATCCTGCGGGGTAAATGCTGATTTATTCTCGAATCCAAACGCTGGGACGTCCTTCCTGTGTAGTCGTGTCCACAACTACACTTGTATTGGTAAATCACTGAATTAACATGATGGTGGGGGACGTCCTTACGAATGGAAGAGAAAGCATTCATATTGTCTTTTTCCTATCTATATATATATATATATATATATATATATATATATATATATATATATATATATTGTTATATTTTTACAACGCGGTTCACCTTTACAAGGTCCGGGGCCCTCGAGCTATATGGTTACGTTTGGAAGTCATTTGTGTGTATATGCGTGGAGGATAACAGTTAACACTATACTTGAACAGGTTAAAATTGTGGTAGAAATAGAAATTGATTAAGTCGTTTTTGTTTGTGACTCCATCCTGGCGTTTTAACTTAACTGTCATTACGCTCAGAACCAATGGTATTTTGACATCGAAAGCCATTGCCTTCGATTTTTTAAAACTCTTTTGACTAGGTATGTCCTATATGGTGGCTACACATACTCTCCAGTTATGGCCACTTTGTGGTTTGACCAGCGAGGGATAGGCTCCGCCAGGTGTACTTGCCCATACATCATCAGACGTAAAACTATTTAGACATTGACAATTCTCTAGAGCCACACGTTTCTTCATGACAGTCGCGTCTACCACCACTTGCACAATCAACTCCCCCCACTAAACCTCTGCCGACATTATTCCCACAACTAACAATAAAAACTGTTAAATATTCCTCCTTCCCAAACATCACTTCCAAGGCTTACTTTGCAATAAATTACCATTTCCCCCGCCACCCAAATAAACATCTCCTCTTCCATTTAAAGACCAACCCTTTGCTGTTATGCCTACTAACAACTAAATTATCGACAGCGTCACTGAAGATTTCTAGATAACTCGTCTTTCGCTACAAAACGGTTTCTCCACCAAAAGCCGATGTTTAAAGTCCACCCTTGCCAAATCTTCGCCACCCTTTTTTTTCACGCGTTCAGCTCCACTTTCTACCATCACCTAACACATTTTCCCGCCATTTCAACTCATTAGCATGTGACGTAACTCAGAGTGCAAACAGACGACATTAATCGAAGAAGGCGGCCCGGCTCACAAATTAAGACGAGTCCATAACCTAATTTGTGCCGCGTCTCTCGGTGTCAGTGTATGAATATTGCAGTTGATCTAATGAGGTACTAATTTTCCAGGCATAAGAGTGGGACGACTGGAAGAAGAAGAAGAAGAAGAAGAAGAAGAAGAGAAAAAGACGAAGTTGAAGAGGAAGTAGAATAAGAAGAAGGATAAGAAGACGAAGAAGGAGGAGAAAAACGAAGTTGAAAGAGAAACAGAAAAAGACAAAAAAGAAGACGACGAAGAAGGAGAAATATAGACGGAGAAGACAAAGACGAAGAAAAAATGAAGATGAAGAAGAAAAAGTAGTAAAAGAAGATAATAAATATATAGAAATAGTAAGATAAAGAAAAAGGAAATATTTAAGAAGAAGAAGAAGAAATACTGGCGAAAGAGACGAAAAGAACAGGCAGAGGAACAAGAAAAAGTAACGAGAAATATATAAAAAGCATATACAAAGAAATAGTAATCTAAACAAGAAGAAAAAAAGAAGAATTTAAAGTTAAGAAGAAGAAAACTGTGAAGAAGAAGAATACTCAGGAAAAGAAATGGAAGAAAAAGAAGGAAATTTACATATATATATATATATATATATATATATATATATATATAAACAAAGAGAGAGAGAGAGACATGAATGCAAACACGAAAAGAAAAGGGAAGGAGTAGAAAGAAAGGGAAGAAAAATATAATTGAAGCATTGAAATATGAATGTAAAGGAGGAGGAGGAGGCGAAGGAGGTGGAAGAGGAGGAGGAAGAGGAGGAGAAGGAGGTGGAAGGGGAGGGGGTGCAAGGTGGAAGAGGAGGAGAGAAAAAATAAATATAAAGTATAAAGCATTATGACGACAATAGTGAATAGGAAAATTAGATCGAAGAAGAAGAAATAGTGTAAAAACTGTTCAAATCAGGAAGAGTAGAAGAAAGAAAAAATAAAAAAACAATCCGAATTCTTTTCACTATTGACCATGCGCGAAACCAGACAGGCGATGAGATGACGTCATTTCCCGCCTATGACGTCACCGTCGAAGAACGCTTTCCTTTGATTTCAGTCTTTTTCTTCTTTATTTTTTTATTTCAACTTTACATTTTTTTTTTTGTATTTCTTTTTTTGAGGTTCTTTGTTTTTTATTGTTCTTTTGTTTTTTTCTATTTTTTTTTTTGGTGCGTCTGTGTGTCTTTTCCTTATTTTGTAAGGGCAGAGGTTTTTTGTTTTTGTTTCTAGGTTTTTTGGGGTTTTTTTAATAATACTTATTTATTTATTGGCTTGCCTCTTATCTGATTTTTTTTTTCAAACCTGGGTTTTCCCTAGAACAAATGAACTAATTAATGAAAAGTAAACCTCTCTTCCTTCACACTGTCTTTCCCCTCCCTTGCCACGTACTAAAACTCGTTGACTGATGAGACTTTTAAAGTTGGCCTCCTCTACCCATGCACAGAAATGTAAATTCAATCATTCCTTTCCTGGTTGCGTCCAATTCGAGTAAACCTCAATATATGACCAAAACTCATAACTTCGGACACCTTGATTGGTTAAGTTTACCGTAATCAGTGAGCTCTCCATCACCAAAAGGAGAGCAAGTAGGGATCGAAGTAATTTCTATGATGGTAAATTCATTGTATTGCGATAGCTAACTGACTACACTTAGAAACAGTCACAATAATTGTTAGTAACATTTTAATACAAGTTATTCAACATCTGTATATTGTTGCTTTTCATCCAGACACGCTGGCTCAATAAACTTCATTATTACTATTATTTTATTACTAGTTTTATTCCATCTTATTATTGTTGCTTTTTATCCCAACACTCTGGCTCTATACACTCTTCATTATTACTATTATTTTATTACTAGTTTTATTCCATCTTATTATTGTTGCTTTTTATCCCAACACTCTGGCTCTATACACTCTTCATTATTACTATTATTTTATTACTAGTTTTATTCCATCTTATTATTGTTGCTTTTAATTCCAACACTCTGGCTCTATACACTCTTCATTATTACTATTATTTTATTACTAGTTTTATTTCATCTTATTATTGTTGCTTTTTATCCCAACACTCTGGCTCTATACACTCTTCATTATTACTTTTATTTTATTACTAGTTTTATTCCATCTTATTATTGTTGCTTTTTATCCCAACACTCTGGCTCTATACACTCTTCATTATTACTATTATTTTATTACTAGTTTTATTCCATCTTATTATTGTTATTGCTTTTTTATTCCAACACTCTGGCTCTATACACTCTTCATTATTACTATTATTTTATTACTAGTTTTATTCCATCTTATTATTGTTGCTTTTTATCCCAACACCCTGGTTCTATACACTTTTCATTATTATTATTATTTTATTACTAGTTTTATTCCATCTTATTATTGTTGCTTTTTATCCCAACACTCTGGCTCTATACACTCTTCATTATTACTATTATTTTATTACTAGTTTTATTCCATCTTATTATTGTTGCTTTTTATTCCAACACTCTGGCTCTATACACTCTTCATTATTACTATTATTTTATTGCTAGTTTTATTCCATCTTATTATTGTTGCTTTTTATCCCAACACTCTGGCTCTATACACTCTTCATTATTACTATTATTTTATTACTAGTTTTATTCCATCTTATTATTGTTGCTTTTTTATTCCAACACTCTGGCTCTATAAACTCTTCATTATTACTATTATTTTATTGCTAGTTTTATTCCATCTTATTATTGTTGCTTTTTATCCCAACACTCTGGCTCTATACACTCTTCATTATTACTATTATTTTATTACTAGTTTTATTCCATCTTATTATTGTTGCTTTTTATTCCCAACACCCTGGCTCTATACACTCTTCATTATTACTATTATTTTATTACTAGTTTTATTCCATCTTATTATTGTTGCTTTTTATCCCAACACTCTGGCTCTATACACTCTTCATTATTACTATTATTTTATTACTAGTTTTATTCCATCTTATTATTGTTGCTTTTTATCCCAGCACTCTGGCTCTATACACTCTTCATTATTACTATTATTTTATTACTAGTTTTATTCCATCTTATTATTGTTGCTTTTTATTCCAACACCCTGGCTCTATACACTCTTCATTATTACTATTATTTTATTACTAGTTTTATTCCATCTTATTATTGTTGCTTTTTATCCCAACACCCTGGCTCTATACACTCTTCATTATTACTATTATTTTATTACTAGTTTTATTCCATCTTATTATTGTTGCTTTTTATTCCAACACTCTGGCTCTATACACTCTTCATTATTACTATTATTTTATTACTAGTTTTATTTCATCTTATTATTGTTTTTTTATCCCAACACTCTGGCTCTATACACTCTTCATTATTACTATTATTTTATTACTAGTTTTATTCCATCTTATTATTGTTGCTTTTTATTCCAACACTCTGGCTCTATACACTCTTCATTATTACTATTATTTTATTGCTAGTTTTATTCCATCTTATTATTGTTGCTATTTTTTATCCCAACACTCTGGCTCTATACACTCTTCATTATTACTATTATTTTATTACTAGTTTTATTCCATCTTATTATTGTTGCTTTTTATTCAACACTCTGGCTCTATACACTCTTCATTATTACTATTATTTTATTGCTAGTTTTATTCCATCTTATTATTGTTGCTTTTTATCCCAACACCCTGGCTCTATACACTCTTCATTATTACTATTATTTTATTACTAGTTTTATTCCATCTTATTATTGTTGCTTTTTATCCCAACACCCTGGCTCTATACACTCTTCATTATTACTATTATTTTATTGCTAGTTTTATTCCATCTTATTATTGTTGCTTTTTATCCCAACACCCTGGCTCTATACACTCTTCATTATTACTATTATTTTATTACTAGTTTTATTCCATCTTATTATTGTTGCTTATTATCCCAACACCCTGGCTCTATACACTCTTCATTATTACTATTATTTTATTACTAGTTTTATTCCATCTTATTATTGTTGCTTATTATCCCAACACCCTGGCTCTATACACTCTTCATTATTACTATTATTTTATTACTAGTTTTATTCCATCTTATTATTGTTGCTTTTTTATCCCAACACCTGGCTCTATACACTCTTCATTATTACTATTATTTTATTACTAGTTTTATTCCATCTTATTATTGTTGCTTTTTATCCCAACACCTGGCTCTATACACTCTTCATTATTACTATTATTTTATTACTAGTTTTATTCCATCTTATTATTGTTGCTTTTTATCCCAACACCCTGGCTCTATACATTCTTCATTATTACTATTATTTTATTAGTAGTTTTATTCCATCGTATTATTGTTGCTTTTTATCCCAACACTCTGGCTCTATACACTCTTCATTATTACTATTATTTTATTACTAGTTTTATTCCATCTTATTATTGTTGCTTTTTAACCCAGCACTCTGGCTCTATACACTCTTCATTATTACTATTATTTTATTACTAGTTTTATTCCATCTTATTATTGTTGCTTTTTATCCCAACACTCTGGCTCTATACACTCTTCATTATTTATTTTATTATTTTATTCCACTAGTTTTGCTTTTTTCATCTTATTATTGTTGCTATTTTTTAACTAGTTTTATTCCATCTTATTATTGTTTTTTTATACACTCTTCATTATTACTATTATTTTATTACTAGTTTTATTCCATCTTATTATTGTTGCTTTTTATCCCAACACTCTGGCTCTATACACTTCATTATTCTTCATTTTATTACTAGTTTTATTATCTTATTTTTGCTTTTTAGTTTTATTCCATATTACTATTATTTTTTTATTTTTATTTCTTATTATTATTGCCAATAAGAAAATACTTTCTGTTCTTGTGGCCCGAGCCCGTAGACTGGGGCAAAAATTGCCCGTAGACCCCGCATACGTAGGATTAAGTATCTGTCTACCTCCCCGGACGAGACTCTGCCCTTCGGCGTAGCCTCGTCCAGGTTCCTCCCTGACCAAAGGCAGAGAGTTCAACAAGGCAAGATCTTCCCACGCTGTCAGCTTAGACAGCATATTACGATATTTACCTGCTTCCCCACGAGTTAGGATGTGGCACAAGGCCAAATTTAATATTGGGTGAAAACCGGACCCGTGTGTTCAGGCAAAAATTGACCGTCGATCCGGCATACGCGGGATCAGATCTGTCTACCTCCCCGGACGAGACTCTGCACTTCGGGCAGAGTCTCGTCCGGATACCTGCTAGCTTAGAGAGCCTAATGAGATTCACTGTATACAAATATACAATTACGGCACAAGGCCGAAGAAAGGGAAAAATGGGTTGAGACTGGTCTTCACTGATTCTCTTATACCTCTTATTCTCTTATACCTCCAGACAATACACAACAAATATTTATCTTTCAGCATAAATATTTCTTCCCACAAAAACCTTTGTTACTCAAACAGTAGACAGTAAAAATTTTCTATGAAAATTCAACTTGCATAGGCTGATTCTTGGTTATATATTTACTCCGGTCAGCCATATTGGCAAAATGCTTAGAAATGTTGGCAGTTTTCTGCAGATGACTTGGTTAACTGGCTAGAAGAAGGAAACTCCAATAGAAAACCTACAACCTTTGGGACCATAACCCCATCACACTGTGTAAAATGTCTTAAAGTGTGAATTGCTGTAACTGTTCTTCGTAAAGATAATGGATTTTTTTTCAAGCTATCTTCTCTCTTCAGAGTTGTCTTTCTCCTAGACTAATTGCCAACTGTAGAATTTAGTTGGAAAAACAGACAGTATTCGACTGTATTTGAAGTTGAGTCTGCTCTGAATACTGGTATTTATTGTATATAAAAATACAATTATGGCACAAGGCCGAAAAAAGAGGGAGGGATTGAGGCTGGTCTTTACTAACTATCTTATACCTAGCTAATCTAATTCACGACCCATTCACTCATTACAATTCGCACATTCACCAGAACTCATCTCTCTTCAATCAATCCTCCATATACCATACTACCGCAGCCTCTCAAGGGGGATGTTACTAGGACCCGTCCCACCCTCAAAAAAGAGAGGCCGCTGTATTCTGCTCTACGACAAAATCAAGAGGCTCCCTCGATACGGGAGAGGGAAAGAAGAAAATATATACGGACATGGGGAATAAATAAAGCTTACCCAGTCGAGATGAAAGGGGGGTGCAAAAAGAAACTGGGGAGGTTGGGAATCTCAATTTGGATCATAACCAAAGATGTAGTCGGGAGCAGGCATGAAACAAAACTTACACATATTAACTAGGTACACAAAGCTTATCTAACCTAACCAGGGAAGCGTTCCACAGGAACCCCCCCACCCCGATGTGAAATAGGTAGACCTAAAAGAGAAAATCAACGCTAGACCCGTTCACACGAACCATGCTCGCCTCAGTCACTCACCTTGAGTCTGTTGAAACCAAGCGTAATCTTAGACAGCATATTATCCCCGCTTACAACAGTGTCCAACAATATAACAATTTGAATAATCATTATTATTGTTATTATTATTATTATTATTATTGTTGTTGTTGTTTTTATTGTTGTTGTTTTTCTATATAACTAGAGTTTTAAATGTTTTTTTCATTGTAATTGCAATACCTTTTTTATATTGTTTTGTGTGACTCATTTTTTCTTGTACTCACATAGGGTTTGCAATAATTGTTGCTAGATCAATATAATAACAGGAAACATGTCTTTTCACATAAGCCACATAAACATCCCGTAATAATCCTTACACGTTTTTTTTTTTTTACTGTTGCCTTTTCATATGAAAAACATTCCTTTCTCTATTTTCTAATTTAACCTTCTTTATTCCCCCTCTCTCTCTCTCTTCATCTCTCTCTCTCTTTCTCTCCCTCTCTCTCTCTCTCTCTCACACACACACACACGCGCACACACACACAGGTATACGCACACAAACATTCACATTTTATATCTTATGATGTTAACGCGACTTACTTTCCTAACTTAAAAAAAACGCCACTAGGGGACGCTTTCTGAACCTATATATACACTGTAATATTTCTATCATTCGCTTTTACCTATTTTCCTTAAACACGCTAGGATGTAGGTCTATCGTGAAAATGCGTTTCCCATTAGGAAACGCACACACACACGCACTCACGCATTTTCATTTTACTTTATTTTCTCTTAGACTTCTACACACATTTTGCATACATGAAAAATCCACTAGTCTTTAAATGTTTTCATGCATGTTCATTTGTTGCATACATACAATATCATTGTCTTTGTCGCTCGAAACAATGTAATTTCTTGCGTTGTTAATAATATATTACCGTTTGTTTGTATATATATTAGTTTTAGTTGTTTCTTTATATTTTATTATCGGGACTCACATTCCGAATCCGCCATTTTTTTCGTGGGATAAATATACCAGGAGACGCGTGATTTCCGCAGCAATCTCTATATTTTTCATACTGTTTCTTTCTATAAAACAATAAAAGAATTCTTCTTCTTCTTCTCGTGATTTTCATTCTTATTTTCTTCCACCTTTTTCAATTACGGTCTCTCTCTCTCTCTCTCTCTATTTATTTCTCTCTCTATCTCTATCTCTGTTTGTCTCACACACACGCACGTTTCCTTTGTTCTTCCTGTTGAAACGTTTATTCATCTGTCATTACAAATATCATTATTTTCTTTTCATAATCGTCCCTATACTTATTATAATTAAGTCAAAGCATTATTATTAGTAGTAGTAGTAGTATTGTTGTAGTAGTAGTAGTAGTAGTAGTAGTAGTATTGTAGTAGTAGTATTAGTAATATTATTATTAGTAGTAGTAGTATTGTAGTAGTAGTATTAGTAATATTATTATTAGTAGTATCATTCTGCTATTCTTTTATCATCCACCCCCCCCGCTTCGCAAAGTCGTTTTTCTTTCTCGTTTTCTTTATCCTTACATAACTTTTCTTTTTTGTTTGTACTGTTGCCTTTCCCTCTCTCTCTTCTCGTCTTATCTTCTTTATTCCTTTTTCTTTTTTCTCATTCTCTCTCTCTCTCTCTCTCCCCTTTTCAAATACGCATTTTATATCTTTATATCTTCCATACTGTTTCTTTCTAAAAGACAACAACAAAAAAACTCTATTACTACCTCGCTTTTCTTCTTCTTCTTCTTCTTCGTCATCTTCTTTCTTCTTCTGTACTGATTTTCATCCTTATGAATAATTTCTTTCACTTTTTCAATTACCTCCTTCCTCACGCTCCCTCCTCCTTCTCCCTCTCTCCCGCAACACACGCACACACACATACATAGACACGTTTCCTTTTTTCTCCATGTTCAAACCTTTATTCATCTGTCATTACAAATATCATTATTTTTCTTTTTATGATCATCCTTATCGTTATTATAATTAACTCAAACTATTATTATTATTATTGTAGTAGTAGTAGTAGTAGTAGTAGTATAATTTCGTTATTCATATTTTTCTTTAAATTACATCCGTGTCCTGGGTAAGACGATAAACTACGTCCAACAGCAAGGCTTCTGATTAGGATTGTTTTGAGGAGCGTGGAACCACCTCGTAATTGCTGGTGTTCCCAGTTCCACCCTGACCCGGGGTAGTAACACCTGTTAGGGTTTCAGCTATGGGCAAATAGTTAACCCCGAAACTGGGGTAAAAACACTATGAAAGTGTAAAAACAGGTTTTAACACCAGAAATACTTTGTAAAAAGTTATTATCAGCAATAAATCTTTGAAGAAAAAAACTATTACCAGCAATACATTTTTGAAAAAAAAATATAACCGCTATACGTTTTTGATGAAAAAAATATTACCAGCAATACTTTTTTTTTTAAATAATTATTACCGGCAATACATTTTTTAAGCAAAAATTATTACCAGAAATAGATTTTTGACAAAACAAAATATTACTAGCAATAAAAATTTTGTCGGCATTAAATAACCCATTGAGGTTGATATGCCGTAAAACAAAACAAACCAAACCAAACCAATATATTCTGAGATAGATAGATAGATAGATAGATAGATAGATAGATAGATAATATTACCAGCAATGAAAATCTTGTCGGCATTAAATAACCCATTGAGGTTGATATGCCGTAAAACAAAACAAAACAAATCATTTTTTTCCTTTTTTTTTATCCTTACATAACTTTTCTTTTTTTTTACTCTTGCCTTTTCAAATGAAAAAAATCTCTTTTCTCTCTCTCTCTTCTCATTTCGTCTTCTTTCTTCCTTTTTTCTTTTTCTCGTTCCCTCTCTCCCTATCTCCCTATCTCCCGATCTCAAACACGCATTTTTTATCCCTTATGCCTTTTCTTTTTTCTTCCCTTAATTTACTCTTTCTAAAAAAAAAAACAACAAAACTTTTGTTCTTGCCACCTCGACTTCTTCTTCATTTTTGTTGATTCAAAACTCACCTTCAATCTATCCTGTGCGTATCAAATTCTCTAAACCCTACTTACGTTCCTTTTGTGTTCATCCAAAGTGAGATAACAAGAACGTATGTATATTACATTTGGCCCCAATACCACGTATACATTTCCAATATATTTGCTTTTCTTCTCCTCCTCCTCACCTTCTACCACACCTCACGTCGTGCGATTATTCATTCATTTTCTTTCTTTTTTTAATATAGCGTTCAAAAATTTAAAAAAAATAAAGCGTTAGGAAATGAACTGAGCGAAATCGTTTGAAGATATCGAAAGGTTTAAACCAAGATGGCGGAATCGGCTGATTTGCTAATTTTTTATACTAGATAGATAGATAGATAGATAGATAGATAGATAGATAGATAGATAGATAGATTCCCTTGTCCACTCAGTGAATAGATAGATAGATAGATAGATAGATAGATAGATAGATAGATAGATAGATAGATAGATCATAATAAAGAAGTTAATGGTCAGAGTTGAACTAGGCCAGGGAACAGTAGTATTAAAAAAAGTGCTTAATACACATATGAAAAGATAAAAATTCAACCTGTAGAGACAATAAGGAAATTAGCCGATTTTGCTACATTGGTTTTACTCTTTTGATATCTTCAAGGGATTTTGGTCAGCTGATTTGCTAAAGCTTTATTTTATTGAAAATAAAAAGAATTAATTTAAAAAAAATATTTTTAAAAAATAAAGCGTTTGGAAATCAACTGACCGAAGTCGCCTGAAGATACCGAAAGGTTGAAACCAATATGGCGGAATGCGGCTGATTTCCTTATTTTTTATACTATATATATATATATATATATATATATATATATATATATTAATAGTAGTACTCGTTTGGAAGATCTCGGATAGCTCAACTTGTCAGGACAAATCGGTATCTGAGGGAAACATTGGAAATAAAAAAAAGAAAGAACTAAAAACATCAGAACAAGACGAAACAAATCGCCCATTCCTTAGCATTCAAAAATATTTAATTTTTAAAGAATAAAGTGTTAGAAAATCAATTGACGAAATCGTTTGAAGATACCTGTTGAAACATGACTAATGCATGGAATAATAATACAACACAAAATATACTTCGAACAAAATGCATTGAAACAAGAAAGTGTACACAATATTTACATATAGTCTTTTGTATATTCTTGGGAAGACCGTTCCTGGAGAATGTGTTGACTTAGTCGCAGTCGGGCAGAGTCTCTGGATTGAATCTCTTGATTCCTCCCCCCGTCTTCCCGGTACCAACCATATTTATATGGTCGGTACTCCACTATGCAAATTAGGTGGATCCTACCACAACAATACCGAATGGTTGGAACCAAGGCACCGGAATCGACTGATTTTTTTGATCTTTTACCACCAGTCCAAGAAAAACATTTGGGTTACTATTACACAAAAGAGACAATGGTTCAACATCGAAAAACATAAAGAAAATTAATTCCTTTTTAATAACATGTGGAAATATCCACTCTTTGCCTGATGAACATCACGAAGCAGGAAACTCGTGTAGCAAACATATGGAAAATAAAATATAATATATATGTTAAAAAAATCGACTTTATAACCATAACATTTGCGTTTTCTCTCTTTTTTTAAAAAAATATACACTTTTCTCTCGTTGGAAAAACTATAACCTCTTCTCTCTTTCTCTCTCTTTCTCTCTCTCTCTCTCTCTCTCTCTCTCTCTCTCTATCTATCTATCTATCTATCTATCTCTCTCTCTCTCTATATATATATATATATATATATATATATATATGTGTGTGTGTGTGTGTGTGTGTTTGTGTGTGCGTATGTGTGTGAGTTGAGATCCAATATTGATTAAATATGGATCGGAATCCGACAAAATGATAAAACCCACATAAGGGAAATAGATATCTCACTATCTAATAAATATAGACGCAATCATCAAGCCGCGAATGTTGGATTTTCCTCGACATTCCCGGTTTGACGATTGCGAAACAGCCTGTCGCCTCTGTGTGTTGACTTCAATATTCACTTTTATATTTATATTTACATACGCTCTATCTCTGATATTGGGCACTTTATCCCCTAAATATAGCACACCTTAAAACTATATTTCTTCATATATGTAAATTATAAATTTTCAATGAAATATTATTCGCTTTACTTTCTATTTCTTTAATAATTTTTTTTTTTTTTTTTTGGTTTCTGGAATTTCATTCCAGTTATACCAAACTTGTATTCGGATATATATATATATATATATATATATATATATATATATATATATATATATATATATTCCAGTCGAATCCATTACATTCACTTACGAGCTATTACCCTTGGGAAAGGTATGAATGCTCTGCTTCTCCCCACCCTCAAGCTATTGGTAAATAGCAGGACAGACCGGGTTCTATAGCCTGGTCTACCGCAGAAAGAAATGACAACCTACTGCGGGAAAAAATCTGCCTCGTCATTCCTGTGTCGAAACTATGGGGCACCTAGTGAGTATTGACCTCACTACTAAGTCGAACCTTGTTAACCATTACACGGCCTCGAGGTGCCTAAATGATTCTCTAAGCGTAGCTTAGATGCGGCACACGGCCGAAAGTGTGGAGCACCCAGTGAGCATCGAACTCACTGCTAAGCCGTAATATTCTAGCGAAACATGCATGCTGACCACTACACCACCTCGAAGTGTCCAAAGAATTTTTTTCTATGTATCCTGAGATAATTGTGAATTCTTTATCAGTTATTGTATTTTATAATTTTTTTTTTTTTTTTTTTTTTACTACTGGTCACACATTACAAGGCTTGGGAGCCACTTAAGGTAGAGGGTACTGAATGACGTTTTATATATTCGCAATAACTCTAAAATTAAAAACAATCTTAAAATTTTTAGTGTAACCAAGGGAGTGCACTCTGTATAATTGTTGACGATTATCTCCCTTGGAATATTATATTTTTAAATATTTTTCATTTTTAAATATATAAAACTTCAAAAGGTATAAAAGGGATCTCTTCAAGACACTGATATTGATCAAAACTATTCGGTAATATTTGGGTCCGCAAAAAAATGTGTGTCAAAAAGAGGTCCCCCCCACCCGCTTGAGAGCGCCATTTTTACAATCTTCACTCGTCGTAAAAGATTTAAAAAGCAATAATTTACTTTAGATATTTATTATATTGCTTATTGGGTTGGAAATATCGATTAATTGATTCGAGCTTTATAAAATGGTAAATAATAAGAATAACCTTATAAGCTGGTTCTCATATTTTAATAATTTACCAAATGTTCATAAATTTCTAAATAAAATATTGTTTTCATATTTATTTCTTTATAAGCTAGTAAAAGATAAATATTGCATTGTATCAGTTTGATTTTTTTTTTTTTTTTTTGTTTTGTTTTTATTTTGTTTTTTTTGTTTTTTAAGCATTTCACCTCAAGCAAGGCGAGAAGCCACTAGCACGCAAGCGGTTACATAGGATTTGGAGCGAGAGCAGAGAGGAGTGATAGAGGAAAGGATGAAGAGAAGGATAGTGGATAGATCAAGGCAACTGGAGATGTCGATTGACATTACATTTGAATAGTTGAAGATTATAGCTCTCAGGGAAACATGAATAGGGAAGGGAGTTCCACAGGTGAGAGGTGCGAGACATGAAGCTATTGAAGTAGAAGAGGCGACTACATTTAATAGTTTCAACAGTGAAAGGGTGAGAGCGGGATAAGTCTGCACCCCCATGAATGATTACACTATAGGTAGTAAGTACCTATAAAGTCAACTGTCTATGAGAGACTGAGAAGAGAAAGAGAGAGCGAGAGAGAGAGAGAGAGAGAGAGAGTAGTGAGAAGACGCAAGCACGTCCGACCTTCCAATTAACGGCACTTACTACTAGATTGACCTGTGTGTATAGGTTTGGTTTGGTTTGTTTTGTTTAACGGCATATCAGCCTCAATGGGTCATTTAATGCCGACAACTTTTTTTTTTCCCTGGTAATATTTTTGCTTTGTCAAAAATCTATTTCTGTTAATATTTTTTCCTCAAAAACGGACATCTGGCAACATTACTTTTTTCAAAAATGTATAACTGTCAACATTATTTTTTTCAAAAACGTATAGCTGGTAATATTATTTTTTTCAAAAACATATAGCTGGTAATATTATTTTTTCAAAAACGTATAGCTGGTAATATTATTTTTTCAAAAACGTACAGCCGATAATATTATTTTTTTTTAAAAAAATGTACAGCTGGTAATATTATTTTTTTCAAAAACGTATAGCTGGCAACATTATTTTTCAAAAACATATTATCAGAGGCCTTGCTGTTGGACGTAGTTTATCGTTTAACCCAGTACGCGGATGTAATTTATCGTCATACCCAGGACACCTGTGTGTATAACTGTACCGTATTTCATATTCTATTTGTTGTATACAATAAACCTTTCTTGTAGCATCCACCTGATGTTACTTATTTATTCCCTTAGCATGGAATATAACAGTCCCGACGAGGATCGCCTGAACATAACAGTTTTAATAAATTGTATTACATTTTAGAATGTGTGAATATAAAATTATTATTGTCAATAAACAATAATAATAGATAAATAATGTTTAATATCTAACTTTCTCTCTCTTTATATATATATATATATATATATATATATATATATATATA